TTGGAGATTTAAAGTTGCTTCATTCCCAAAGGCAATGATCAAATCCTTGCCTTTGGTTAATAAGGATGGATGCGTTCCTTCCACTCAACCACACCCTCCAAGTTCTTAGTGAAATGACTTTAATAAAAGTAAAATCCTCCTTTACAACATCCCAACCCAAATTAATATGAATATTAATTAATTAGTAAAAAATAATAAAGCTTAATTGGTAACAAAATTTTATATGAAAATTAACTAACATCTAATGAATTGTTACCACAGATTAAAGTCAATATGTATATAAAAATGAAAAATGGTTACCAAATTATGAGAATAATTAAATTATTAGAATTATAAAAATAATGGATACAAATTCTGCACAACAAATGAGAGAATTTGTTTGAAATTTTGCGTAATTTTATAAACAAATAATAATTTATTAATTATTATTTACACCAATTTATACTATTAATAAAAGTAAAATTCTCATCTTCAACATTCTCGCCCAAATGAATATGAATATTAATTAATTGGTAAAAAAATTTAATAAAGCTTAATTGGTAACAAAATTTTATACGAAAATTAACTAATATCTAATGAATTTTTATCACATATTGAAGTCAATGTGTACTTAAAAATGGATGATGGTTATCAAATGCTGAGAATAATTAAACCATTATAATTGTGAGAATAATGGAAACAAATTCTGCGTAATAAATGAGAAAATCCATTTGAAATTCTATGTAATTTTATAAGGAAATAATAATTTATTAATTATTATTTACACCAATCTATATTTATACTATTAATAAAAGTAAAATCTTCAATTAAAATGTCTTTCGCCCTTCTAATACGAGATTGTCATTCAAGTTCTAACGAAAACAATTCACGTTGATGCTCGCATATGCCATGACTATCAACAAAAGTCAGGGTCAAACACTAACTCACGTTGAGTTATTACTAAATAAACCCGTCTTTAATCACGGTTAATTGTATGTGAATTTTTCCCGAGTCATCCATCCTGATGGTCTGATGGTTTTAACTCTAGATGAGGATGGATAAAATTCCGTTATTACTACCAATGCTGTCTACAAAGAGATTTTCAATAATGTATAATTCAAGTTATTGATATTATGGTTTTTTATATACAAAGATGACAAAATTGCTATATATCTACATAGAAAATATATCTTCCGTATAAATAATTTCTATAACTGAGTTGCTAGACAACGAGCTAATTAGTCCAATTAATACAAATTCTAAACATTGATATATAAAATCTCTAAAGTTGCAGCACCGAATGCGTATATCTACACGTTAACTATTAATTGGGCAATTATTTACTCGAATTCAAGTATTGATAACATCAGAAAACATAATCGGTGCAACTCAATTCTTCAATTATATTATATAATATTCGATGTTATAATTTATACAATTGTATATCGATCTAAATATTTTTAAAATATTATAACAAATTCATTCCGTGCAACGCACGGGCGCAAATACTAGTATATTATAATTAACTTTAGGATGTGTAGAATTTTATTTAGAAAAGGTTTACATATTTTGGGTTCTTTCTCAAAATGTATTTAAAATATTTAATTAAATAAAATAATAATCTAATATTATATACCGGTACCTTCAAAAAAATATTATATACCGATTAATTCAATTCTAAATAATACGGAGTAACATTCTAAAATTATAAAATGTTGTAAGGATATAAGATGTGTCAGCTACAGGGGATGGCAAGTAATATGATGAGGTAATGGAGTGTATGACTCGGCGGAAATGTTGTTGTAGCATAAAAGTAAGGTGGGTGTGAAAGCAAAAATACCTTAATTTCAAAAATAAATTTAAAAGTACTCTTATTTTAAAATTAAGATCAATGACGGATTCAAAGAGAGCGATGAGGACAGTTGTCCCTACACACACATATAATCCGATTTATATGAGAATCACTCCTCAAGTGAGAATTTGTGGACAAATTCAAACCATCGATGTGTAAAATCTGATAGATAGGAAATCAAGTAAAAAAAATGAGCAAATCACTATCATAAATATTACAAATTTTTGAAATTTGTAACAATAACTCATATAAATGCCATATGTATATACAAGTTATTAAATGTTTAGATAGCACATCTTTTTTGATTGTTTCTTAAAATTTGATGATATGATATGTCCTGAGATTAGCTTCTTTATTTTTATTTTTATTATTATTATTTTTAACCCTTCACAAGAAGAAGAGAATATATTTGGGATTAATATCAAATTTTGAGATTTTAACATAGACATTTTTATAAAAATTTACTTAAACTTCACCTCTAATAAGAAAAAACCTAAATCCGCCTTCAATTAAAATTTAAATTTTAAAAAAAAATTAAAGTGTTGATTGACACTAATATTTCTTGTACAAAAAAAAAAAAAAAAAATTAAAAAATTATGATTGTACGAGAGACTATAATATATATGCACCTTTATTTGGAAAGTATCTAAAAGTGCAATAATTTAAAAACAAAAAATTACGGAGTAAATAATGTGACATACGTTATTTAATTTGTTTATAATGATTAGATGTTAATTGGCTAATTTTGTTATAATTATGTAAAATCATTTTTAAAAAATTGGTAACAAAATTATAATCTTGCAAGGTGTTTGGTTGGAGGGATTTTAAATTCCCTTCCCACTTAATTCCCACCTAATTCCAAAGGCCATTAAATTTCGTAGTTTGGTTGGAGGGAATTGCAATTCCATGGAATTGTAATTCCCTCATTTTCATGGAATTAAAATCCCATGTCCCCCCGGTATTTTAATTCCTGGGAAAAAAAGATAGTGATGAGTCAAAATTACCCCTTCCTTTTTTAACTTAAAATTAATGTCTAACAACAATAATGGACATTTTTGACTTTATACTACTTATTTCCTTTCAATTCCCATGTATACCAAACATTGGAATTGAAATTCCCAGTAATTCTATTACTGTCAACCAAACACTGAAATTTAAATTCCCACTTTATTCCTAGTAATTCAACTCCCATAGAATTACAATTCCTTTCCCACATAATTCCCCCCCTCCAACCACACGCCCTGATAGTACTTAAACTAAGCTCTACCGTCTCCCGATTGCCATGTATCCCTCTTAGCTTATCCTTTTCTTCTCCTCTATAGTGCTCTCCACGATAGTATTATTTTAGATTGTGCAGAATGCATGACCCCACAGGCCCCACATAATCATGCCAAATACAACATAATTTACCCCCCACCCCCCACCCACCTCCCTCCCTACCCCTCCCCCCACTATAATAAATCTTGGTCCCCAGTCCATTTACCTTATCTTGTGTCATACATCAATAACATTGGATCACTATCCCTTTCAGTCCTCGAGTAAGTCGAGATATATTCTTTAACAAATTAAATCTAACTATATATATATTTTATAATTTTGTTTAATTTGCTAAGTATTTTATAGTGTATTATTAATGTTGGACTAAGAGGGACTAAGTCTAATTTACATGGACAATAATACTTAACCCAAGTCATTTCATGGGGTTGCTTTTACAATTTTAAAGTTTAGGATGATTATTGACAAGCTAACAATAGAGATTAGGGTGACAATTTAACATAATTTGACTGAAACTATTAGTTATTATCATAATGGAGAACCGAGAACAAGGACGTACAATAGTGTACTTCCCGTCCTCATTTAACCTTGCTGACGTCCCTTACAAAGATAATTTGATAGAAATTTAAGAGTAAAAAGTGACCATATTTATATATAATTAAGGGATGAAGATTGTAATATCACCATAACACAAGGACTAAAAACTTAATTATTTATAACAAAATGCCTTGTGGTCGAGCAGCATAGTTGTGACTCCTCAAATGAGAGGTTTCAGGTTCAAATTGTTGGGCGTCGGCCGGGTTGGCCGAGTTCAGCCCCTGCTCGATTCGAGACGTGGCGTTGTGGCTTACCATGGAGAGATGTGGTTAAATGGTTAATGTCTACCTATTTATCACCAATTGGTTTTGAGTAGGGTATGGCAACCAGGTACCATAGAACTCTGTGGTTAAGCGTGCTTGACTTTCGGCAATCCCGGACGCTGAGATCCAACAATTGGCATCAGAGCCTAGGTCACGAGATGTGGGCGTAGGTCGGGCCAAGTCCAATCCCATGAGGGGATAATGGGCGCGTAGGCATGTTGTGCAACTTGGCTTGGTGGGCTTGGTGATCAAAGGTTTGTGACTTATCATGGAGAAATGGTTAAATGGTTAATGTCCACCTACTTATCACCAATTGGTTTTGAGTAGGGTATGACAACTAGGTACCATGTGGTTAAATGGTTAATATCCACCTACTTATCACCACACCTACTCATCACCAATTGATTTTGAGTAAGGTATGGCAACCAGGTACCATAGAACTCTGTGGTTAAGCGGGTTTGACTTCTGTGGTTAAGCATGTTTGACTTCCGGCAATCCCTTGGTTTTGAGTAGGGTATGGCAACCAGGTACCATAGAACTCTGTGGTTAAGCGGGTTTGACTTCTGTGGTTAAGCATGTTTGACTTCCGGCAATCCCTTTGGTTTTGAGTAGGGTATGACAACCAGGTACCATAAAACTCTGTGGTTAAGCGTGCACCCTCTGGAAAGTGAGCATACTGCAGCACTGAGATCCAACACAAATCTCAGTAAAAGTAACCAAACATGGTCTAAATCGTCTAAATCAAATTAGTGAGACTTGACATATTTAGTTGTATATCTAATTCAAAATTTTAATTCCTTTTTAACTATAAAGTAAGCATGGTCTAAATTAAATTAGTGAGACTTGACATATTTAGTTGTATATCTAATTTTTAAAATTCAAAAATTTAATCCCTTTTTTCCCTCAAAAATTTTTTTTTTTAATTCCTTTTTAACTATAAAATTCAGGATTCTATGGATCATTTTCCATGTAATTTATATGCACGGAATCTTTTTTTTTTTTTTCTTCCTATAAATCACCACCTGAACTTGCTTTGCTTCTCAATATAATACAGTTTCTCCTCCTCTCCACCGTCGCCACCGCCACCAATCTTAGCCTTACTAGAAGGAATTCTCAGGTAGAAATCCGTCGCCACCGCCACCTTCTCCACCAATCTTAGCCTTACGATAAGAAATTCTCAGGTTGAAATGTTGACGCCGGATGAGGGTGCGGCCATGGCGGCAGCCAAGAATCCACTACCGCATTCCCCGTCGCCGTCACAGTCGCCGTCCCCGGTGCCGTACCTTTTTGGCGGCCTGGCCGCCATGATGGGGCTCATCGCTTGCGCAGTCTTGATCCTTATCTGCTCTTACTGGCGCCTCGCCGGGCCGCTGGGTACCGGCGACGACCCCGAGCGGGACCCCGAGACCGGAGACGGCAATGGCAACGACGGGTCGGCGGCGGCGCCGCCGGCGGTGATGGAAGAGAAGCTTCTGGTCATTCTGGCTGGCCAAGAAAAGCCGACTTGTTTGGCTACACCCGTGGCGAGTAGAGTATCGTCTTTTGGCAGTAATTGCAGCTGTAGCAGTAGTACGGTGAGCAGTGAGAGTAGTACTCTGGGCAAATCTGAAGGGGAAAACGATGAGAAAAAATCAAGATTTTAACGGCGGCGGTGGTCAGGTGGAAATGGAAACCATATAGATTGGGTCTCTCGAAGTTAGCTTTTTTAAATTTTATTTTTATTTTTTTTATTTTAAAATTTTTGGTGGATCAGAAAATGTAAATTGCGCATCATAGATACAGATCTGCTTTGTCAATAATTTTTGCTCTTCTACTTATAACTATTCTCATTTTATTTTTAACTTTATAAAGATATTGCAAAGAGTAGTCCACCCAAAACCAGCTCAATTGATTCAACTGATCACCCTAAATCTTAAATTTAGTGGTCGCTAAGAATCTGAGAGGTCATTGAGAGAACTTAATTGATCACCCTGAATCTTAAATTCAGCGGTTACTAAGAATCTGAGAGGTCATTAAGAGAACTTAACTGGTCACCCTGAATTTTAATTCAGCGATCACTAAGAATTTGAGAGGTCATTGAAAGAACTTTACCAGTGATACTTTGCGTGTACAATGGAAACTTGAGAATTAATGTGACAATTAGGAAATTAAACTTAATGTATATGAAAAAAAAAAAAAGTAAAAATTGGTGTGAAAAGTAGTTGAAGTATTACATTACTCGCAGAACACGTCTGTTGTTTGGTGGGACAGTGCATTAAAGGCATTCAGCGGCGACACGGTTTCTTCATGAGAAGCCCACAAATTTGTTCCTTACCAAATTGGCACACAACACTTTGGCTAAAACGGTGTCGTCATTTCCGCATTTTCCTCGCAACGTAAACTAGAAATTAATCGATACGGACAAATGAAATTATTACTCAGAAACGATTAAATTACAAATGTTATAAAAAAAAAAGAATTACAAAAAAAAAAAAAAATAATCATGTCTTCAAAAACTGTTGAAGAGAATGAAATCATCTCCATGCAAAGCCCATCCAAGAATCCCAAGCCAACCAGCATACATATTCTAATACTTTTTGACTAATTAAATTCTTGAAAAAAATATTTTATAAATACTAATAAGATGCAAATGAGATAAAGCAAGTCTCTTTTAACTTCATCGAAGAATTTGAATTAGAAATTAAAATATTTTGTCACTTTTGAAATTTTACCTGACATGAACATGATTAGTCTTTGTATGCATGTAAGGTTTTAGTTAATCTTGACTAAGAAAATGTATGGTAAAATAAAAAAAAATATTGAAAAGGTTATTTTAAAATCTAAAGGGTTGTTGATAACAATTTTGTTGAGAAATAAAATTAGTTACTATGTTTAATATGCTTAAAAATTTTAATAAATAAATTCTATAAAAAATTATTTTATGTATTTGATTCATGAAAACTTTTTGAATGATTTTTTTTTTTTTTATAAAAAAAAATTTAATATATTATTATCACATTATACACCATAGTAACTTATTATATGACAAAATACAACTAATCAGAGAGTTTATTTAATACAACAAATAAAAATTAATATAATTATATGCCAATATATATAGCACAAAGCTAATCAACTTAATAGCTTTTAATGAATGATGACAAACACTCAACCAACTAAAGCAGCCCACAGATTAATTACCAAAAAGCAAAACCGTACGTAAAACAAAGACAACTTTAATTGCACAATTTAATGTTTCTTTTGTATTAAAAATAAACCTAAAAAACGGACTCTGCACCATTGGCTTCGCCCGGACTCGGACCGGAGACCTTCAGTGTGTTAGACTGACATGATAACCAACTACACCACGAAACCATTCCTGCTCCACTTAGCAATTAGATTTATTTTTACTGTATGTAGTCTTGAAGAAATGAGATTGAAACAGACGAAGGGAAAAATTGATTCATTATATTCAGGAGTTTATATATATATACATGATTAAATGAGAATAAATCCTCTTGTAAAAAGTGAGTACTGATCACAGTCATTCATTAGGGTTCATCAATGATGGAGGGTTTAAGTAAAACAAAAATAAACGATAAATTTTATAATTATTGAAATATTTTAAGAGTGAATTCATTTTATAATTATTCTAAACTTGAACATTTAGTAATAGTTAGATCCTAACATTTGATTTATCAAAATAGAAAGTTGGTATGTGTTCACATTTTTATAAGAGATGTGTTCTCACTTGCTGCCTTTTTTTTTTTTTTTTTTTAACACTATTCCCCCTCAGAACTCTCGCCTATATATACATAAATGAGAGATACAATAGTAGCGAGAGAGTAAAATCGTAGCAGGAAGACGACCTCCAATGAAGGCGCCAAACGCCAAATTGGTGGACAATTTGGCATTGAACAGTGTCCAGTGAAGGCGCCAAATTGTCCACCAATTTGGTGTTTGTCTATAGTGCAACACCATATTTGGCGCTACACGGTAAATGATGTAAGCCATTTTAATTATCATTTTGCCTTTTTTTTTTTTAAAAAAAAAAAAAATTCCTTTTGTATCTCTATTTTGTTTTTATGGATTTACATATTTTATTAAATACATAAACATAAAATTTGAATAATTAAAAATAAATTATACCATTTGAAAGATCTCATCAAGACGATTAAAACAAGCCTAATATTATATATAGATTAATTAAAAATTAAAGTACATAAAACATAATTTTCATAATATTAATTTGAATAAATCCAAAATTAAACAAAACATAGAATTAATAGTCTCTAAGACCACCCACATTTCTTCCCAAATTATCAAAATATTGATTAAAAAATTAAAATAACAAATTAAAGTTTTAATTTATGAGAAAATAAATTATTTTAATGTAGAAATAAAATTTGGTGTAATGGGTTCGATATGAATAAAATTTGGTATAAGAATAGGTTGGGAATAATCATTTTAATGTAAAATTTGGTGCAGAATAGAGATGACCTAACTAATTGGATAATTTTTATACATTCCCATTTATCCAAAAAAAAAAAAAAAAAAAAAAAAAGTGCCCCTAATAACTTGAACCATTGATGGGTGGTTGAACAATAATTATGTTGTGGAAACGTGTTCACCATGCGCATGGTGAACACAAGGGTAGATCCATAATTTATATACTGTAGATTTATATATATATATATATATATATATATATATATATATGAAAACGTAGATTTATAATTTTGTTTTTCATTTGTTGTATGTTAACGGAATAGATCCATAATTTCTAAGATGTAGATTTATAATTTCTATACTGTAGATTCATAACATCTATACTGTAGATTCATAATTTCTGTACTGTAGATTCATAATTTCTATATCTATACTGTAGATTTATAATTTCTGTTATGTAGATTCATAATTTCTATACTGTAGATTCAAAATTTCTATACGGTAGATTCTAACACAAAAATTATGGATCTACAATATAGAAATTATGGATCTACCCATGTGTTCACCATGCGCATGGTGAACATGTTTTCACGGCATAATTTGCGGTGGTTGAAAATGCCAACTATCATTGACGGGTGGTTTAAAATTTCAACTACTACAAGTGGTGATTGAAAAAGTGAAATAAAATTAGTGAACTCCCATACTAGATCCCATCCATTTCTTTCCTCTTTGGAAAATCCATGACTTCATTGGACTCTTAATCAAGTTGAGGACGACTACCACTTCTCCTTTCTTTTTCATTTTTATTTTTTCTTTGCACATAATACTTTATGGCATCTTTGATGATTTGTAAACATTTTGTAGTAAGGAATAATGTCGGTTAGATTTTGATGCTGTTAACTCTGGTAAATTAAGGAAATTAGAATTTCCAAATCTTCCATGTAATATTCATTTTTAATAGGACATTTGTAAAGGTCAAAGTTGAACTTAGCTTGAAGTTGAAGATCAGAGCAGATGTAGTTATCGTTAGAAATAAGAGGCATGCATTCGGTTGTTAAAGCATATTGTCAAGAAGAATGGATAAATTTTGATGCTTGAAATTTTAGAGGAAGAAGTCAATGTGAAACAACCACCAGCGTTCACAGTTAAAAACAAAAATAAGACTCAACTTGCATTTGAGCTTTTTAGTCCGTGGATCCTTGTACACCAGAATGTACTCGTCTTCAATAGAGGACATCTGGCAGATCTCACAATAAGTGATTCTAGTAGAATATGATAAAACGTTCGGCAAATCTTCTTAACGGACATAATTAACCGATACTAGTAGTTTGTCATTCAACAGATCTATCAATGAAAAATTTTGTTATTTGGTAACTACAAACCTTCCGCTGCAAATACTTTAATAATTTTAATCATTTAAAAAATTTCAAAAATTTATCCAACCCCTTTCCCTTCAAACTTCTATTTGTTTGGGACCAACTTTTGTACAACTTTTAACATTTCTATTTTCCTCAAATTAGATGCAATTTGAGCTGGTCCATACCTCTTTTTGTTACTTTTACACTATATATAGCTACATCCCACATGCGTGTTCTCGGGACATCTTCAATAATAGAATTTTGATGTAGTTTTTGACGAGTTTTTGTATGTGTGATTAGGAAAGAGAAAATGGAAGAGGAGTAAAAACAAAAAACGAAATGTCAGCAAAACAAAAAACGAGATAACAAAAATATCACCTATTAAAAAAAAATTAAAACTATTTAAATTATCCTGTAACTTTTATCGTGAATTCTAAATAAAAAATACCCAGTCTCATTTACTAATTTTTTTCACCACGTGAAACATTTATATTCCGTTGGCCAAATAGCTTCCAAGCGTCTATTTGCGTCATCTTTAGACTCGAACCTTCATGATAGAGATGGCCTGCCGAGCATCTATCGATCTAATCTCCACTTAAGCATTTCATTCTAGATTCCAAGTATTTTTTTTTTTAATTTTTATTATATATACAATCTATGGGGATGAGATATTATATTGTCTCCACAAGAATCATGTACTGAAAGCCAACATCGTTGGACAATGATTTCCACTAACGACATCATACCTAGCTAGCTAAGAAATAAGATTTTAGTATTGTCTTAACTAAGGAATATCTAATGGGGGCTGGTTAGTGATTAACGGATAGCATTAACAGTTTTAATCAGCGAATTGCTTTAACAATTTATAAATTAATATTTGATAAAATTAAATGTTAATAGGTAAAAAGACATAAGGGTACACATATATTTTAGAGTTAATACCCAAAATGGTCGATCGACTATGACATAATTACCAATTTGGTCCTCAACTACCATTCTTACCTAATTAAGTCCTCAACTATGTAAC